GTTTATGCAAAATAAAAGTAAAATATTAAATAATCATTTAATATCACAGTAGTAACATATTTATTCTCATTATTTTGTCTCAGTCAGGTTAGAACCAGAGAAAATGAGCTTAATTATAATAAGGGGGATTAGTCCAATATAAGGAAGAATGACTTTGTGTGACAAAAGGCTGGAATCGAAAGCAGGTGCTAAATAAATCCTGTCAATTTTCAGAGACTAGAATGGATCCCTGAAGGCATTGTCTCAACAAGAAAGCATGTGGGCCCCCCGCAGCCTGCTGTGTGCTGTGCATCAGGCAGGGTGCTTCCCTGCACGCCCCTGCGTCATTATTGCCCTGTATCTGTGAACATAGACCTTCGCTGTGAGAAAATAGAAATGTTTAAATTAAAGAGCATGGTAAATGCATGAATAAACAAACACATATGGTTATAATCTTTTTATAAAGGATGCAGGAAAGAACAAATGCATAATAAACCAGTTAAAAGAAGATTTCATCTTCCACATTATGCAAATGCATTTTGCTAGTGACATTTTTTATTTTTATAAGAATGATCCTCATTACCAGTTTTGCTATGTGAACTACAAAATTATGTATCTGTTTTTAACAGAAACGAATATATAACTACTCTGCGGAGATATTTTCAAAAGTGTCAAAATAGGAAATAACACACTGACACCTTTTTAGGGCTCTGTATACCATTAGAAAACATGTTGTTTATGGAATGAAGGCTTGGTAAACTGGATTAGACCATTTGGATGGGGCAGTTTCTAAAATATCAGTTTTATTTTATTTTATTTATTTATTTTATTTTATGTAAAGCAGTGTTCAGATCCAGCTATACCACACAGAAATTCTTCTGGTTAGGGAGAGACCTAGGTGCACAACAAAACCAAAGCAACTTAAACTGCCCTCTGTTTTCCGAGGAAAAGATTCCTCCTTCCTTTGTGGCTGAGTTCTTCCAACAACACAAGCTGTGCTTGGGCCTTGCCTGAAGTGAGCAGGTTAGCTTTGCTAATAAAAGTCACAGCCCTTTTTAGTTCAATGACTGCCAAGCACACTCTTTTTCTCTCAAGAAAAGCAGAGTGTAGAATTGTATTAGAGAGGAAGTGCAGGGCTACCAAACTGGGGTCATTTGTTTGCACTTTTAGCCAAGTCAGCAGGAAGCTCACTAATTTTCTTTTTCTCTAGAAGATAAACAGATCTCCCACCATGTTGTGGGAGATACAGACATATGAACTACTATGGCTAAACACATAAGGGTACTAATTACAAATTGTTTTCATCTGACCAAATAAGAAGTGTTGCACTCGATTAACAAAGTGAAAGGAAAATTTATTCCTTAGCTTGCTACAATATAACCTCAAAATTATAAATGAGATTTTGTTTATATTGAGCCCTCATTGTAAAGAAACATAATTAAATGAAAACATGCAGTTCTTTGTCCTATATTCTAATAATCCTTCAGCTTCTAATAATTAAACTTTTTTCCCAATAACCTTCTCACCTGTCTTACTAATGAGGCACATTGCCTAGTCCCCCAAAGTACAAAAATGCAGTGAGAGGCACTTCTGTGTTCCCTTCCTGTCCTCTGTAGAAGCCAGAAAGATTCCACCACTGAGACTTTTACTTCCATAGATTTAGATTTGTTTTACCATGAGTGAGGACCATAGAGATTACAGAGTCTAGACCTCTCACTTTAAAAATGAGAAAATTAAGGTTTAGAGTAGTGAAGTGTCCGAACTTATTATTCATAGGGTTGGGACTAGAACACAAATCTCTGGACTTCTTGGCTGGTTCCTCCCACTATTCCCTACTAGAATGCTAAAACCAACCAAACAAGACATTCATCACAACAAAAATCACAGTCTGTGTTTTTGCTTTTACCTCTGAAGAGATTATCCAAGTCAATATCGTCTTTTCCTTGGATTTTCAAACGTTTTGCCTGCTGTACAAGTCTGGGCAAAGAACAGAAATAAAATGTAGATTCATTATCCTGTGAGGTTCGGAGAAATCATAACAGCAGCACTCACTTAAATAGAAAACACAGGATAATCAGTGGTGAATTAGCAGGTATTTTTCTGCACAGAGCCTTATCAAAATTTTATTTCAATTTAAGATTAAGAAAAAAAATACACTTTTGCTCAGAAACTCTAACTTTGAAATTTAAAACTTAAAAGCTCTTCTCTCCATTCTATTATACCAAAAATATTTCTAAAACTCTCTGGAGAATTATCTCTTCAGATTCTGAGGAGAGCTATTAGGGACAGTAGGTGAGTGAATAATAATTGCTACTGATGGGTTTGACACTTGTTTTAATCAAAAGATTATATGCATTGTGCTCAAACAACTGTATAAAGTAATTCAGTTATATTGCTGAATGTCAAGGAATTAGCTTTTAAGTTCTCCAGTATGCAGTGAGGACTAATTTTATAACTCATTCATTACAGCACTTTAATAAAACTTGAGGCTCATAGTTTGTAATGAACATGGTAGTTTCTTAAATGAAACTTTTCCAGTGTTGTTAATTACCTAGTAATGAATTCTAGTAGACAGAACTTGAGATAGTTGATTAATTTATCTGTAATATTTATGATTTTGATAAAAATTATAACACCTTGCTTTGCAAATATATTTTCTGCTTGCACTTGGGCAGATGCTCTCACATTTTATCCTCATGGACAAGCCTTTGAGTTAGGTATGCAAGTAAGTACTGTTTCAATTTCTGATTTAGGTGAGGAACTGATTCAGTTACTAAAATGTTACATAGATATTTAAGTGATTTATGCATAATTTGAGGTAATTTTATATGTTCTATAAACATGCATGTCATGGTAAAAAACACATTCTGTTTATTAGTTAGAAATTTTTTTAACCATTAAGACTTTTTTTTTTTCATCAAAAATACCCAAGAAACTGTGAAAGAATTTCTATTGAAATCATATCTTTGGACCTTAAAAGAAGGTCCTATATAGTGACTGTGCATCCTAACTCCAGGTAGTTAATCACCTGTGGTGCAATGCAGAGACCAGTACACTCAGTGTGGAGAAACCTGGCTCCATGTCCTTGCACCTGTGTGCTAGCTTTGTGACGAAGAGTGCAGATTTAAGCTCTAGCAGTCTGAGCTTCCCAGTCTGCAAAATGGAGACAGTACTTGCCTTCCAGGATGTGTTCTGAACAACCAGTGAAACAATATGCTATAAAATAGTCTACAAACTCTTATGCATCATGGACATACATAAAATATGTGGAATATTTTCACTAATTCAATATGTATAATTTTCATGATATTCTATATATTATCAGGGTTTATTTACATTATTGTAGGAAAGAATATAAACTATGGAAAGAGGGCTTAAACTTAAGCAGTGAATATCTGGTGGAGAGAGCTAGTCAGCATGGGATGCTGGAAGCACAACGTGTGCACACCATAGTACTTTTGCAAAAAATAAGGTGAAAAAAATTTTAGCTCTGTGGACACATTTTTGGAAACTCTTGGGAATTTTCCCCCAAAGCTTTAAAAATTTTATGAAACTGAGTTGAATTTCAAGTCATCTTAAAGCATCC